CTAAACTCTAAACTTTAAACTCTAAACTCTAAACTCTAAACCCTAAACCCTAAACTCTAAACCCTAAACCCTAAACTCTAAACCCTAAACCCTAAACCCTAAACTCTAAACCCTAAACCAACCTTGCAGGCTTTTGGGTTCCGGCTCAGGGGCTGCCGGAGGGGCGAAGGTGAGGTAGTCCGGCTATTGCCGAAAGACCCCCCGGATGATTAACGGTCTAGGGTTTAGGGTTTAGGTTTTAGGGTTTAGGGTTTAGGGTTTAGGGTTTAGGGCTTAGGCTTTAGGGTTTAAGGTTTAGGGTTTAGCGTCAAGGGTTGAGGGTTTAGGGTTTAGAGTTCAGATTTAGGGCTTTAGGGTTTAGCGTTTAGGGTTTAGGGTTTAGGGTTTAGGGTTTAGGGTTCAGTGCTTTAGGGCTTTAGGGCTTTAGGGTTTTAGGGTTTAGGGGTTTAGGGTTGTAGGGATTAGGGCTTTTTGGGTTCAGGGTTCTTCGGGTTTAGGATGTAGGGATGAAGCATGCAGACGGATCCGCGGCGAAAAAGAAAAGGCAGTTCCAACTTGGCACGATGCACGTGTGTAACAACATTACTTTGCCGAGTTTGTTGGCTGCGACGAGCTTTAGAAGACGGAGGCCCCAAACTGGCCACAAGGTATCACCCTTAAGCCCTAATCACTAATCCCTTAAAGGAACCCTTAAAGAAACCCATGCCATACGATCCCGTAAAAGAACGCTTGCAAGAGCCCCTACACCCTGAACCCCGTAAACCCTAGACCCTAAACCGTAAGACCCACAGGATCTTAAACCCTAAAGCCCCTAAACCCTAAACCCTAAACTCTAAACCCTAAACCCTAAACTCTAAACCCTAAACTCTAACCCTAAACTCTAAGCCCTAAACCCTGAACTCCCTAAACCCTAAATCCTAAAGGCCCTGTCCCCATTACATTACAGTAGCTCGCCCTCGTGTCTCTGCTGCTTCTTGCGCTGTGGGATCATCCGAGCAATCCTGAACAGCCCCGAACGTTGAAATCTAGTCGTAATGTAGGGTCGGATTTAGTAATGGTAGTCCGGAGTGTTCCTCAACTACAGCTCAACTGTAGCTGCAGCATACTATGACCCATAACCTCCTTCCAATGATTAGTGAGGCTCTTGCATCAGCCGTGGCCACTTTCGCTCGAGCTAGTCTCTTCAGGCCTTCTCTCGGCCTTTCTTTGTAGTTCTTGTTGCGCAACGGCAATGATTCGCGAGACCCTCCGTCACCGCTACCCCGAACGCGTGCCGGTAATTTGCGTGCACAGCCGGGATGCCAGCCAGATCAAAAAAATGCTCGTGCCCAATGATACAACAGGTGCTGCGTTCCAGGCGATGGCTCGTAAATGGTGTCCGTGGGCTGCGCAGGGCGGCGAAGTCCTGCTTTGCAAAGGCAAGGGTACCGATACCGTGAAGGTTCCAGAAGAGAAGACGCTGCAAGAGCTGGATTCTGAGTATATGGCGCCAAACGGAGTGATATATTTCATGGTGGAAGCTGCCAAGGATGATAATCAGGATGCACCAAAGGATCCAAAAGAGCCGCAAGGCGTCAAGATCAACCAGGCTGTCCCTGAGGAGCCGAAGAAAGCCAAGGATGAGGTGACAGCGTCTGAAGATCGTAAGCAGGATGACATCGTTGGAAGAGCCAGGCGACTGCGCGAGAAGCATCCACGCCACCTTCCAGTCATCATCAAACAGCCAGCGGCAGCAGGGTTGCCTGCGCTTGACAAGAAGCTTCTGATTCCTGGAAGCATGCCTTGCAGAGATTTGCACAAGATGGTTCCGAAGTACCTGGCCTGCGAACACTTGGACCTGGACTGGAACAACGTGATCTTTCAGCTTGCTGGCCAGTCCATCGGGGAGGGCATCGAGGAACACGAGTTAATGGCAGAGGTCTACACTCGTTGCGTCGGTGAGAAGGACGCAGGAATCATGCTCTCTTTGAAGCCACGGAGCCATCCTTGCAGGAGCACCTGGATGGAAGCCTGGTTTAGGGCGATGGGCGATTTGCAGTGCTTTTCGAGGTCCGCGGGTCAAAGGCATCTGCGAGCCGCCAATAGTTTGTGTTTGTGAGAGTATATGCATGTGGCCGTCGGCAATGAAAGTGGTCGGAATGTTGAACGAGAATCTTGATTTCCATATTCGCTAGAAGCCGTCCGGTCACGTGAAGACTGCCGACGCAAGCATAGTTTTCAGATTGCAAGACGAGTACTGCACACCAGTTGACATCTCGTCTTGGGCAAACCATGTCGTCTTGAGAGCATGTTCTTGAAGTTCCACAGCAGGACCCAGTGGAATCTGTGAAGTGCAGCCACCCTGAGTCCTATACTATACACAGACCAGCGACGAGTGGGCTGCTTGTGATTACAGCTACTGGTGAAACTACACCCTAAACCCTAAACCCTAAACCCTAAACCCGAATGAGACTCATAGCAAGACTTCCAAATCTGATATAGGGCCATAGATTATAGGCGCTTTAATACTTACCTATAATGTTTTGTGGGGGGTTCCTTAGTAGAACTATAGTATAGTATACCTCGAAACCCTATTTTAATTCTTCAGGCCCCTACATTAGGGCCAAAAAAAGCGGTCCAAAGAAGGCCTGAAGCGAGGAAGCCGGGTGCTTAAGCCGCTGGGTTCTTGCAGCCGTGGCAGTGCGGCATCTGAAAATTTGAAAGCCAGTCCGGCTGTCTCAGAGATGGGCATATCATGGTCTGTCATAGCATATCACAGTAATATGATAGCAATTATATTATGGTATATCATTGTCTCCGTGTCCCAAGCGGGATGAATGGGTTGGGGTTAAGGGTTTTGGGTTGAAGGAGACTGTCTCCGTGTCCCAAGAGGGATCAATGATGCGGTGAATTCAATTTGCATGTGGTTCCGGCGGCCGCTGCGAACAAGCGACCAAGTAGTGGGCAAGCTTTGCACGGACGCGACCGGCTAGTCACAGTAATACTATTCCTTTATCGTCCCTGTACTCTTTTTCAGTTTCTGATATGTGTAATGCCCCAAGCCCTATTCTACATATTTAGGCTGCCATAGAGTGCTCATAAGGATGCCCACCAACCCTACAAAGCACTCGTTCAAACTACCAAAGGCTCCTATGTTTTTGCACTTTATAAAAGCCTCCATAGTAACCTGCCTATGAACCCGATAATACAGCCTATACTGAACACTGTGAGCTCCATGACGCCCCAGATTTTGTTAGTAGCCAGGGTTTAGGGTTTAGGGGTTAGGGTTTCGGGTTTAGGGGATCAGCAAATCAATCTGAAATTGGAAAGACAAAGGCCACTGAAGACGAGATCTAGGCCGTGTGGCATAAGGCGGGTTTCGGGTTTGGGGGTTGTAGGGCTGAGGGTTGCAGGGCTTGGGTGCCTGGATTTGGGGTTAGGTTTGTGGTTTAGGGTTTAGGGTTTAGGGTGTGTATACGTGTTTGCAGCCTCACCTGAGGTCACCTAAGTCAACTTATCGTATTTCGCCGTGTGCTATCAAAGAGCGGTCCTCCTGTCTGCATGCAGCATTCACCAACAAGTGCTCGCTGTAAGGTAGGGTTTACCCATAGGCCGTAGTAGTTCCTTTTTGGGATTACCTTATAGGCTTCTAAATATGACCCCCAAAAAGGAACTACTATGGGGCCTATGGGTATACTAGCTCTATACCGGGCTTCTTGGAAATGCTGGTGCGCGTACAGTCTGGGTTCCATTACACGGATGCCAGTAACACAAGTCCTGCCTCACGTGTGCTGCTTCGCAGCTATATTCGATCTTCGATCCACGGTTCCAACATGTTTTTTTATCAGAAATCTTTAGCAGATCATTTAGCGGGGCATCTGTTGTTTTGCTGTAGTTCCGCGAACCGTGGAGCATCCTCAACCATGAGCTGTGAATCTTAATATTCCGCCTGCCACATCGAAACTAGCCAAGGATCACGCAAGAAGTGCACCTCAGCTGCACCTCACCGACCGGCCGAATGCACCCTGCTCTTTCGTATCTGGACCAAGGAGTAATACTCTTCCTGTGCTATAACATTAATACAGATGCCTATTTAAAAAATGCCAATACTATTATGGGAGCTCCGTACTATACTTTCTGGTTTCATATACCCCAAAACCCTATCCTAGTATTTCTTATTGCGGGCTCTAGACATGGGTAGTAAGAGCGACATGCTTCGTGGTGGGTCCGGGGATCGACAACAGAACCCTGCTTGTGAGGGCTACCCAGAGTACTAGCCGAAGTGCTGAACTAGAATGTAAAGGAGCCCTTAACAACGCCCTCAAGGGAACGCTAAACCCCAAACCCTAAACCCTAAACCTTTTCGGCTTAGGAACAAAACCGTTCGCTTTGGGGTTTCGGGGTTGGTTTTCATGTCCAGGGAGCCGAACCCCTAAACCATACACCCTAGCCCGAAAGCCTAAAATAAGGGCCTTAATAATGAGAACAGGGTTTGGGGGTATACTATACTAATTATAATAAGGAGCCCCCCAAACCTATTGTAATTTTAAACGCTTCGCGTCGTCCGCCTCGGCTCGGCCGCAAACAAAAAGGGCCAACGAACTGCTGGTGCTGAAGGCGCCGTTGGCGGAGCGGATGAGGGGAAGGGGAGGAGATTGCGTTCGGCGGCGCAGCCAGAAGCAAGGCAGGCAGGCGGAGGAGGAGATGAAGCAAGGAAGGAGTCAAGGCAGGCTGGGGGGGGGGGCGGGGCAGGGGGG